AGCCTAAGACGACATTATTAGAGGCGAGAGAAGCCTCGGGTAGCCAAGGAAGTGGGGAAAATCCTAATCTGATAAGTCAAAAGGAAGATCTAGTGGTGTAAATTTTGGAGGGAGAAGAGAGAATGCCTCCTATAGAGACTGTTCCTTAGGAGGAGTTGGGTAGAGGGTATGGCGAGAGCCTTGAGGGGTTAGACATGAACAAAGGGGTGATGGATTTGAGAGGAGAGAAGTGGAATTTGAAAGGAGATGGACTGATTATGATTGAAGGGGTGCTGAATTTGAAATGAGAAGGCGTAATTTTGGCGAAAAGTTTGGGTACAAGTGCAGAAGATATTATTGGGACACTTGAGGGAGCCATCTCTTTGGGAAACAAAAAATTATAGAGGAAATAGGGGAAATGATGGAGATCTGAGGGAGATGAAGTTGAATATGCATATTTTTGAGGAAGAGGATGCACCTGGGTGGATATACATGGTGGAAATATACTTTACCATCAATAGGTTAATGGAGGAGGAGAGACGGACGGCGATCGGGATGTGCTTGGAAGGGAAAGCATTAGCATGATACCATTAGAGCAATACGAGGTGACCGATACGAACCTAGAGGGAGTTTAAGAACTGCTTGTTGGAACATTTTTGAACCAGTAAGGGGACTTATATGAGTAGTTCTTTGTCCTAACATATGAGGGGATAATGGTGGAGTACCATGAGCAGTTTGAGCATTTGACTAGCCAACTACACCGGCTTCTGGAGACTGTACTGGAGGAGAACTTTATGAAAGATCTCAGACAAGATATTAGGAGAGCATTTAGAGTGATGCTGCATCATGATTTGGGAGAGGCTATGTAGCTAACCCAGTTAGTTGAGGATTATAGGCACCTCGAGATAGGGGCTGGAGAAAGAAGCTCAAGAGATTCGTACAGGATAAAGACCACCTTTTTGGAAACCAATGAGCCAACATTGGGTATTCTTAAGGAGACCCAAAAGGAGAAGACTATATCAAGGAGACTTGGGGAAAACTTCAAGAAGCTCACAAAAACTGAGTTACAAAAAAAAAAAGGATGAAGGGGTTATGTTTCAGATGTGATGAGAGATATACATCAATGCACAGATGTAAGAATCAAACTCTTCGGGTGCTCACCATTTATGATGACGAGAAAATTGGGGAAGGTGTTGTCTTTCCACCTTGTGGACAAGGTGGGTCTTTGGGAGGAGAGTAATGATGAACCGACTGATTTAATGATCGGGAGGGAATTAGGAAGGTTTATTTCGAGAAAAATGGTTTATTTGATTCAGAGAAAATGAGGAATGTTTATTTAGGAAAAGGTGGTTGATTGATTGGAAGGAAATTAGGATGATTTATTTAGGGAAAGATGACAGATTTAAATTCAAATTTGGAAGGGAATTATGATGATTTATTTAGGGAAAAAGGGCTTATTTGAATACAAAATTGGGAGGTAATAATTTACGGAAAGGTGATTGATTTGAATTCAGATTTGAGAGGGAACTATGGGAGAAAATTTAAGGCTAACAATAAGGTGATTTTAGGGGATGTTTTGAGTTTTCTAAAATTAAAATTTCTTAGGTTGCAAGGGCTCTAGCTGCTAGCTAGGGATTTGGGAGAGTCGGATCTTCCTCACCAATTAAATATCCAATTGTCTCTTGTTGTTTTCTTTTAGGGATTTTTACATGCATAACACTTGAAACTATTATAAATACATATTCAACACCTAAAATTTTGTATTTACTAATATACCTCCTAAAACCCATTGTTTCATCTATTATACCACTCCGTTATATCCCCTAAAAAATCCCGCTTCTGGTCAGCGAGGTTTACAAGTGGAGCCTCCTAAATTGCTTCCGCATTTGCTCTATATTATTCATCTTCTTCCTCTTGGTTCTATTTTCCTTACTGATATTTTACATTCTTCTGCAAATAAAATAGCACTAAACCAGAAATTAAGATCTATATCCACCAATAACAAATATCGGCTTCGAGTCCAATCCAATCGCCGCCTCCTTCCATCCGCTGCGGCCGCTGCCATGGATTATAGGCGAGAGAGATTTTAGAGGAGAGGAATCAGATTTAACGGAAGCTCTGAATTCAATGTAATTTTCCTTCTCATCCGTCACCGCACCGACATAACCTTCCTCACATTTAATTTGAATGAAAATTTGTGTGCACAGTTGGTCGATTCTCTTTCTTCTCATCATCTCTTGTTTGATTCTCGTATACAAGCTGTAACATAATTCAAGCCATGTTAGCATATAGTGTAACTTGATGGTCAATGAAAATGAATTGAAATCAATTTCATTTCCTAGCTCCCCGGTTATTTTCTCTGCTTTTATTTGTTGAATTGCTAAATGAGATGAATCAGCCAAGAACAGTAGAAAGCATAAAGCAGAGAGAGAGTAAAATACAAACTGTAACTTTCTATATGTAAATTGCTCGACCGATTACAATAGACTTGAGGAACAGTAGAAACCTATAGCTTTTTATATGCAAATTGAATGAGGAGGTTGTGCTTGAATTCTATCCAAGCCATTGCAGAGGAAGTGGGCGGCTACGGTGTCAGACTTCTATAAACGGTTTGCTGAGAGGCTTTAGAGGAGAGTATTAACACTGATTGCTATCCCCGGCGGCCATTACTATGGAGCTCGATTCCAACGGTGCGAGCTTTCTTTAAAGAAGATGTCGTCGGAGGTGGAAATAGTTTGTATGTCGTCGGAGGTGGCAAACTCAAAATCGAATAAGGGCCCCTCGTCATCAGTCTCTTCGTCGTCCACCACCGGCTCCAACAATGTCATTGCCTTTGCAGCTAACATGTTGGCGGCCAACGAAGACCCACCAGTTCCACATCTACAGTATCTGAGAAGGCCGAAGGATTCCATGGAAGGGAGAACTAGAGAGCGAGTGAATGAACTTACTCTCTGTCTGTTTCTCTGTGTTTCATGTTTTCCATATTGCAAATCTATTTGACGGGATGTTTAACGGAGTGGTAGTATAGATAAGATGGAGGATTTTTAGGTGGTAGATAAGTAAATATTAATATTTAAATGTTAGATATGTAAATAGAATAATTTTAGGTATTATGTATGTAAAAATCCCTTCCTTTATATATATTGTAATAAAACAAAATTAATGTGCTCTTCTTCCTAATTTCTTATTATCGTTTGCTGATTTCGAGTAAATTATATCCACTTCTTCTTAGCCCTCTACAAAATGATCATTTTGTAGCAATAAGAAAGTTATCCTAAATGAAGCCTAATTTGTCATTAACTAGAAGAAAAGTTTCTATGAATTAATCGATCGAATTTCTAAAACTTTTTAATGAAAATATATCAAAATTGAGGTGTAAATCTCACATTATTTTGCATTTCAAAATAAATTTGAATTTTTTCTAATAATTTATTTTTTCAGCTGAAATATTTATGCCAAAAAATATCCATAATTTTGAAAAGTAGTGACATAGTTAAATTTTTTTTCTGGTGATCATACAAATCGATTATTTTAAAGATATTATACATATTTTTAAATAGATCACTGTAATATCAAATCTTAACATTTATGAGGGAGCACAAATTGTTAATTTTTGTTAAAAATTATATTCACATTAGTATAAAAATATGAATATATAAACACATCCTAACACTTCATAGGATTCGAGAGCAGCGGGAAGATTAAATTAACAAAAAAAAAAAAAAAAAAAAAACTAAAACAACAAGCAATGCATTTTTTAGTCTAAAAAAAAGTGAAGGATATACAGCCTGAGCAAATTTTCGCTCTTAAACTTTAAGATACTATATTCAACTTGAAGATAGATAAATTTATCACTGATGCATAGTCTATTGATCCATGTATCAAGTTTTTTTTTTGCAACATTTAGGCCAATTAAGGCCAACTCACACAAATATCACTAGGGCTATCAAAATCAGGTCACAAGTCGGGTTCGGGTCCAACCCAAAATTGACCCGACACTATTTGACCTAACCTAAATCCCACCCGATTTTGCAAATGGGTATATTTTTCGGATCAGAAGCGAACCCGTTTTTTGCAAAATGGTATATTTTCGGATCAGAACCCGACCAACTTTGGGTTTAGATCAACACAAACTTGACCCGCTTCGGGTATGTTTTACTAAATTTTTTTTATTTAATTCGATTTATTTAAATCTAATTCTAATTAAGGTAATATTTACTTCAATCAATTTGAATTAAACCAAGCTTGGTTTAGTTTGGACAACATGGTTAATTATTTTTTGGAAATAACATTTACTTATTCATAACAATCTTTTAAAACCTTCCTAAATCAATTAAAAACAGGTCAAACCGGGTTAATTTTGAATTTCCCGAAACCGACCAGATTTTACAAACGGGTCAAAATCCCTAACCCGAACCTAACCCGATTCGGGTTAGGATTGACCCGAACCCGAAATTTTCAGGTCAGATTTTTGAATCGTGTCAAATTTTAACCCTCTTACACATCACATACACAAGACTCAACTCAAGACCTCTTGTTTGAACTCAAGATGAAGCCTCCTATTGAGTAGGCAAGTCGAGCTTGAGTTAGCCCTGATTTAAATCGACTCAACTCGCTTACACTGCTAATTTAATACAATCAAAAGTTTAAATTCTTCAAGCATCTTTAACATTTATGATATCAAGGTTCTGAAATGTGATGCAAAAGCAAGGCATTGTCAAATAAGGTTTCGTTTGGGATATTTTCTTACTATTTTTTAAAATAGTTTTTTAATTCAAAATTTTTAATTTTTATGCTAAAAAGTAGTACGAAAGTTGTTCCAAACAAAGCATAAAGCTTATTAACAAATGTTTACAACATTATTATGCCAATAGATCTCTTTTCTGCTTGAAAACTTGAAATTAGCAACGCATATATAAAAAAAAAAAAACACAGAAAATTTTAAACCACACCATTGTGAAATATTAATATAATTACTTGCGCAGTAACAGTGATAACATCACCATAGATTCTCTTTTTTCTGGTACTTCACTCCCATCATTTCAAAAAAAACCCTTAAAATCAACTGAATTACAAAGTTCAATTTATTTATTACGAAAAGAAGCCAATTCTGCTCAGACAATCAGAAGCCTGTTCAATGATACAATATTGTGATAATGAATATTTTTTTAAGGCTGGTAAACCTCAGGGAGCCGAAGACCAACACTGGCTGCAGATTTATTTAGCACCTTCTTCATTTCATCAGTTCGATCCACAGCAATGTTGTAAGAGAAGAGCAAATCCTGCAAAGGAAGCAAGATCAATAGTAAGTCTAACGTACATACCTAGAGACTGCAGAATATTTAGAATTTGTTTTGGACGACTTTTTTTATTGCTTTTTAAAACAGTTTTTTAATTTAAAAATAAAAAAATTTTATACTAGAACGCTGCTTTAAGAAGCAATAAGAAAGCCGTCTCAAACGAAACCTTAATTGATCCTACGGCAATAGATATTCTGTTGCTCATGTTGCTTCCATCCATGTTTTCAAGAAAAAAATTTAATACTTGAAATATTTAGTCCAAATTATAACTAAAGACCTGACAATGAAATTAATGCTGTACATGGCTATGGTGTCCCTTACAATTTTGTTGCACAAGGAATACTCTTCATTTGGAGAATGTAATGAGAATTAGCTTCGATTTTATTTCATACTTTTGTTTTGTATCTAAGCCGTCTATCACCATCTGTGTTTTGGAATTCTTCTCTTAAGCAAGATGCATTTTGACTAATTTTCACCATCTTGCATAATCTATATTAGCCAATCAAGCTACAACAATAACAACAACAACAAATTTTTATCCTATTATGTGGAGTCGACTACATAAATCTTTTTTCTCCAGTGTTTCCTATTAACATTTAAATCTAATAAAAAATATCAATTTTAATACTTTCTAACCAAGTCTTTTTAGATCCGACTCTAGTTTTCTTAACATAAGTTGGAACTAATATATCAACTCTTCTAACAGGCCAACGTTTTATTTGATCAAACCATCTAGGGAGACTCTCTAATCTTATCTACCACTAGAGCTACTCCAACCTTTTCATGTATGTACTTATTTCACATTCTGTCTTAAGTGTAAAGCCACTCATCCACCTAAGCATACTTACCTCTACAACACTTAACTTAATTTTATATTTCTTTTTTAATGACCACTTTTCTGCACCATAAAGCATTGTAAGTCTCACCATCATCTTATAAATTTTTTCTTAAGTTTGAGGGGTACTTTTCTATCACAAAACAGGCTAAATGCATTCCTCCACTTCAACCATACCATTTGAATTCTTACTAACAATATCATCTATTTCAACATCTCTTTGCACAATAGACCCGAGACATCTCAAACGTGCACTCTTTTTAATTACTTGATCACCTAAAGTTAAAATCCCACCACTAGATATATTAATACTAAAATTGCACTTCATGTAATCGGCTATAGATCTACTCAAATGAAAATCTTTACACTCTAGGTTAACCCCCATAATTCAAATTTGTCATCAACTACCTCTCTAGTCTTATCAACAAAAAGAGGGTCATCAGCAAAAGGCATACACCAACGTACATCCTCTTGCAAGTTGCAAATGTCTAGTAAGAACATCCATGACTAAAGCAAAACAGATATGGGCTTAAAACTAGCCAATAAAGTAATGTTAATAAAATGATAAAATCTGATAAAAATTATTTTCACCCTTTGCTCTTTTAATGTTTTTAAGATCATGAACAAATAATTGCAAACAATCACTTAAAACCTTGCCATGAAAAACTAAAAATGTATGATGAACATTCATATTGTTTAAGGTAAATTACATGTAGGTCCTAAAGATATGAAGGCGCTTTACAATAGATATGATTTTAAAAATCCTTCATTTGGATCTCCGAGATTTAAAAGATGCTTCTCCATGGTACTTCCATTAACAAAATTGCTAAAAATAATAAAACATTAAAAAATGTCCTGATATTTTCTCAAATTTTCTTGTTGAACAAGTCAATTAAACTTCCTTTTCGGAGCACACGCGGGCTTTAAAATCTTTTTTTTTTAATTAACGTGAGTTGCAAATCACCTGCAACCAACACCATATTCTCATTTATTTTTCATGCCGCTCTCTTGAAACTATTCAAGGAAGACTGCACGCTACACCCCAATCCTTTAAACCTCCATAAGATTTGTTGCACCATCCATTCCATAACTTAAATGCATTCTCAAACCACGCAAACATCAGCAAGCCGGCATCTGCAAACAGCAGTATATGACTAAATGGAAAGATCTCCCAGTAAGTGACACCACATGCCGATGAGGTTACCATGCTTTATCCTAACCTCGACCTTTAGGAAAAAAATCATGCTTCCATGGTATAGGGAATTGGTTTTAACCCTGCCCCCAGGGCAAAACACAGCAACTCACCCAGCATGAAAGGAGAAATTATTCTGTGCGAAGACCGGAAGACGAGAACCGTCCAGATTTGCTTCCCTTTAGCTGTTTTTTTTGCTGCGCTTTTGCAAATATTCAATAAAAGGGAAGTAACTATACAATTATGAATGCACTTTTGCTTTTGCTGAGTATTTGAAAAAACACAGCAAAATGACAGCAAATATTCAATTAGTAGGATATTTGCTGTGCTTTAGCAAATACTCATTAAAAAGGCAGCAAATATGCAATTATGAATGCATATTGGCTGCCCTTTTGTTGAGTATTTGTAAAAGCGCAGCAAAAAGTCAGCTAAAGCGCAACAAATCGAAATGATTCTTACCGTTCGGTCTCCGCACAGAATAATTTCTCACATGAAAGAGTCACACGTCACCGTGGCTCAAGGATTATAACCCAACAATAATTAGCTTGGAGGTGTATGTTGGGGGCCGAACAAATAACAAAGTGTATTTTCTTTTAAGCTAAGTTTGTTATGCCAAGGATATGCATCCTCTATATATTTTCCTAGGTGGTTAAGATTGCTTTTGCCCCGAACACATGCCACTTTTTTGTACCTTCGTGATTGTGTTGTGATCTTGAGAGGGAGTGTAATTTATTGGTCGTATGGATGAATGCCAGAGACTAATGAAAAAGCAAACGTCTTCTCCCCTCTTGATTCTCCCTTATTTCCTAATATTTTTTCTTAGTACTCTTTTTTCCCATTTTTCCTTTTCCAATTGCTGGAGTTGGCAATGAACTTGTAGATAATCGTTTATCTTATCAAAATGGTAAGCAAAGAGCAAAAGGAAGCTAATAAAAATAGGAAACAAAGGAAAAAAGGTACAAAAATGCACAACCTACAGAACTGAAAGAACGACAAAACATACAAAATTGCAAACACATATTTATCAATGAATGATAGCATTTGAATTCATTTATTTACATAATGTATGCAATGCAGAAGTGAGTTCGTCAAAATTACAAAAGGTGTGCTAGTGAAAGATTAATCATAAAAGATTGTAACTCTGAACAGATTTAACTGGCTAAAAAACAAGAAAGCATTGATGAACATGATATCTACAAATAAGTCGTTATAATAATATAAATATAATAAAGAAACTTATAATTTGAAAGCTACCTTATGATGATGCACGCTATTAAGCAGGAAAGTGTAATCATGAGCAAGCTTCATTTTTCGCTGAATTTCACATGGATTAGACAGCTTAGCGCACTCCCTGAACTCTTGGGTAATGAAGTCCCTGAAGTGCCCTTTGCTTCCATTTTTTCCTATGTGGTTCTCAACAGCTTTGAGAAGTTTGCGATACACAATTGAAGCTTGCATCTCCTTGAAACTCATTAATTTAGTAGTCCGGAGAAGATGTTGAGATGGAAATAGTCATATGCTAGTACTGTGATTAAGTCTGCGTATTTATCCGTGAAAAACTACAGATGTACATATGCAAACAGAATTATATTCACATAAGCAACTTTATTAGCTAGTACAAAAAGGGTATGGTAGACGCACTTAGGGGCTGTTTGGTAGCACTCAGGATTTGATTTAAGTAGGATTTCGTAAATCTTTTGAATCCGGATTTTGGAAATCCTCTTCGGAAATCCTGAGGGCCTAAATCATGAAAACTATTTGGTAACATTCATTATAAATCCTGTTAAATCCCGTGAAACTGTTTGGATAGAGCGGATTTAACAAGCAGACCAATGGATTTCGTAAATCCTGCAAAAAAATAGGATTTCGGAGATCCGGGATTTAGCACCAAAAGGTGGAATTTTCCATCTAAGGCAGCTTTCATTTGTCGTGAGATTTGGTTTTGCATTTTAGGCCATTTGGCTGGATTTGGCTCAAATCCGGCTACCAAACAGCCCCTTAAATATCTTTGGCTTCGTTTGGAACTGCAGAAATAAATCCGTCCCAAACAAAGCCTTTGTTTCTATATTCGAACTATTTCAGCTATTACCTGAATACGAAGACAGAAGGGATTATGCTTCAAAGTATCAGAAATACTAAAAATCGTGTATTTTCTATATATCTAATGCATAAAGCATAAGTTTAGCATCAACATCCAAGAAAAACTGTAAATCCTCGAGAGTCTATAAATCCCATCCCATCCCTACAAATCCTTGCGAAATAAGCAATTGGTTAAGAAACAAGTCGGGATTACTCTTCACAAATTTTTTATGACATCTTTAATAATTTTTCCTTCATACAGAGAGTGTGCAAAAAATCAAAACAAAATGTATAGCCAGTAAGACTGGTAATATGACAAAAATAAGCAAGCAGGAAAAGGGAAATAAAACCATTAATTTCACATTTACCAAAAAAAATTAAAGATGTTGGTAAATTGCCCTTAAATAAGTGATTCATGTTCGTAAAAATTTCCCTTGTATTCTTGTGTTGACCTAGAAAAGCTTTTACTCGAGAAGTTTCTTGATTCCATCTCGTCCCGAGAAAAATCACCATCACTTATTTCACAAAAAAATAGAGAATAAAGCTGATGATTGGAGCCAAAGCGAATGAAGAAAGAAGCGAAAAACATAGTAGAGGAACGGAGGAACCAAAATGTAGAGGTTCTGCAGGAACCCAAATATAGAGTTACGGAAGGGCGGAGTAGGTTGCTGGAAATACCTTAAAAAATCATCTTTTTATCATGCAATCGCGGGAGAGAGAAACTCAGGGAAGAGAGAAAAGGAGGAAGTGCCCGCGAAGAAGATGGGCGAGAAAAAAAATCGAACTTTGTTTAGAGATTGTAAGACCAGCTTGGCAGCGAGCGTTGCGCGCTCTTCGCAACGACGGAGATGGACGAGGCCGAAACCTATACGACTACTCTGAACATATTTAACTCTTCCATGGTCACGATAGTATTTACTAGTGATATTTATATTTACTTATAAATTATTTTAATATTTAAAACTAAATTACATTTAAAATATATAAATAAATTATGTGTTTTATTTTAAATAAATTAAAATTAATATTATTTTAATATAATTTAAAATTTTAAGTGTTATGTACATGAATATGATAATTTATATATATAAATATATAAAATTTTGTGATTCGTAAAAACATCCTTTTTTTTAATTAACACAACTTTGAAATAAATTTTGCATATATATGTCAAGGGAAATAGCGAAATTTGAGTATATTCACCTCATAATACATTTATAATATATGTAAATGATCAAATATTTTTACTATCTATTTATTTATGTAAAATATTTGAAAGTTAATTTTGAATAAAATTATTCTTGCAATTGTAATAAAAAGTCTTTAGTGATATCATGGATTTTTTTATATGATATGATACTTTGATGAGTAGGAACTGATAACTTTTGATATTAAAGTCATATAACATAAATGACTTGTGATATAATTGATTCATGATTTCCTGAACTAAGATAGATAGAAATTGTTCTTAACTAATAGGTATAAAAATGATAGAGCTTACTGACCCATTGTATATAATTACCGGTTACTGACTATTATTTACTTGATTACTAATCATTACTCTTAAAATATATATTTGTAATGATGTTTATTAATCATATGACATGCTATCCTTTCATTGATTGTTACATGCTTTTATAAACATATGTTCATACAAATAGTGATCAAATGATTCCATACATATTATTCATATTATATTGTATTGATTTCAGTTGTGAGTTCTAATAACTTACTGAGCTGTTAGCTTATTTTGTGGTTTTATATATTTTTCAAGGAGTCAGGATCCACGGAAGTGGGGTGGATCTAGGATTCATGTTTTATTTTATTCCTACATTTTATTCAGGTTTTATTTTATTTCTACATTCTACAACTCATTAGTTTCAATAACTTACTGAGTTGTATAATGCAATAAGTTGTTAGCTTATTGCATTCAAGAAATTAAATGGGTTGGAGAGAAGACAAAGGAGATTGATATTTAGGATTCAAACTATGGTATTCGGATAGGAGTTGTACTAGAAATGATGTAAATATGATTATATATAAGAGTTTAAATGATAATGTTATAAAAATTAATAGAATTGGAGATAGAATTATAGCTTTAAAGATTATTATTGATGCTTAGATTCTTAATATTAAAAGTACTTATGCTTCTCAAGTAGATTTGGATATGAGTTCAAAATTAAAATTTTGGAATGATTTAGAATAATTAATACAAAAGTTAACTCTTAAAGAAAGAGTTTTTATTGGAGGAGATTTAAATGGACATGTTTGTAGAGAGGTTAATGATTTTAAAAGCATTGATGATGACAATGAATTATGAACGATAAATAAAGATGATAAGATAATATTAGATTTTTCTTTAGCTTATGCTTTTTTTAATTACTAATATATTTTTTTGTTAAGAAAAAAAGAGATGAGTATCTCATCACTTATAAAAATGAATATAGTAAAACTCAGATTGATTATTTTTTTATAAGAAAATTAGATCGTTTTGATTGCAATGATTGCAAAGTTATTATGAGTGAAAATTTATTTACCCAACATCAATTATTAGTTTTGGACTATGAGATAAATGGGCAAAAAATAAAACAATAAAGTAAATGATATTCTAGGATTAGATTGGGGTATTTAATAATAATAACAAAAATATTTTTTAGAGTAGTATTTTAGATCTTAAGATTTTATATGTGCATGAGGATGCTAATGTTATGTGGGATACAGTGGCTAGTGATATTAAGAATATTGTAAAAGATGTACTTGGAGTATCAAAGGGAAAAGCTCATAATAGTAAAAAGTTTATAATTGAATCTAAATGTGCAATAAAAGATAAAAAATAAAAAAATTTGTTATAAAAATTGGTTTATATGTAGAATTTGAGATAATTTGAAAAGATATAAAGATGCACGTAAGGAATCTAAGAAAGTAATATGCGATGCAAAGATCTTCACTTTTAATAATTTATATAATAGATTAGATACTAAGGAGGAAAAAATATATATGTATAAGTTAACCAAATAAAGAGATAAGATTAGTAAGGATTTAGTTCAAGTGAAGTGCATTAAGAATGAAGATCAAAAAGTACTTTTCTTAGAAGATGATATTCAACAAAGGTGGATGAAATATTTTGATAAACTTTTTAATGAAGAATATGAAAATACGATTGACTTTAGTGACCTTAGCATCCTAAATGAAAATAAAGTTTTCTATTTTTATCGACGTATTAGAAAAGTGAAGTTATAGAGGCTTTAAAGAAAATAAAGTGTGAAAAGCTATTGGACCTAATGATATTCTAATAGAGGTGTGGAAATGCTTAGAAGATAAAGGAATTTCTTAGCTTATTAAACTTTTTAATACTATTTTGAAGGCTAAAAAGATGTGAGATGAGTGAAGAATGAGTGTTTCAATTCATATTTTTAAGAATAAATGTGATGCACAAGATTGTAATTAAGTTAATGTATCATACTTTAAAACTATGGGAGCAAGTTATGGAGCATAGGTTGCGGCATGATACTAATGCTTCTCAAAATCAATTTGGATTCATGTCGGGTAGGTCTACTATGGAAGCCTTACATTTATTGAGAGCTTTGATGGAGAAATATTATAGAGAGAATAAGGAGGATCTACATATGATATTTATTGATTTAGAGAAAACATATGATAAAGTTTCAAGAGAAGTGCTATGGAGAGTTCTTGAAAAGAAAGGAGTTAAGAACGTTTATATTCAAATCATTAAAGATATGTATGCAAGAGTTATCACTTGTGTTCAAACACGAGGTGATTTGACCAAGTATTTTCCTATTTCAGTTGGATTACATCAAGGATCAGCCTTAAGCCCATATCGTTTTGCTTTAATCATGGATAATCTCACTAGACATTTGCAAGAGGATGTACATATGTGTATGCTTTTTGCTGATGATATTCTCCTTGTTGATAAGACTAGAGAGGGAGTTGAAGGTAAACTTGAATTATGGATGTCAACCTTAGAATCTAATAGGTTTTCGCATGAGTAAATCGATCTGAATATATGGAGTTTATTTTTAATAGTAATGGACTAGTGAGGGATTGTGACTTTGGGCGAGCAAGTCATTAATAAAAGTACATGTTTTAAATATCTTGGATCTATTGTTCAGAGGATGGTGAAATAGATGGGAATATTATCAGAAGTATTCAAGTGGGATGGTTAAAGTTGAGGAATGCATCGGGCTTGTTGTGTGATAGAAAAGTACCCCTCAAACTGAAGGGCAAATTATATAAGATGGTGGTGAGACTTGCAATGATTTATGGTGCCGAATGTTGGCCATTAAATTAAAGAGAAACATAATACAAAGTTAAATGTCCTAGAGATGAGGATGCTCAGGTGGATAAGTGGCTTTACCCTTAGAGATAAGATTAGAGAGAGTTGCCATAAATGATTTGGTCACATAAAATAGCGGCCTTCTGAGGACTCGGTTAAGAAAATAGAGGTATTAAATTTGACTTATGTTAAGAAAGATAGAGATAAACCTAAAAAGACCTGGCTAGAAAATATTAGAAATGATCTTTCTTTATTGGAATTAAACAAGAATTTAACTTTTAACAAGACACAATCGAAAAAAAGGATTCATGTAGCTGACCCCACGTAGTGGTACAAAGACTTAATGTTGTTGTTTTTGTCAAACAGATAACATCATGTCATGACCATTTAGTAAATGCCTTCCACTTGAGACAAGCAAAAGAATGGTAATAAAACAAGAAAAGAAATCAACGCCAATACGGAATTCAAAGTTGAAAAGATTTAAAAAAAAAAGATGTCGAAAAAAAAATTAGGATTTTTTTTGGAACGGTTTGATTATTGCTTTGTAAAACTATTTTTTAGCAAAAAATTTATTAAAAATAGTTAAAAAAATAATGGTTTAAAATTGTCCCAAACCAAACCTAAAGCTAAACACCCTTCTTACAACTTTATAAAGTAAATTTTCAGGACAAAAAAATTTTAAATTAAAAATTTCTGTACTAAAAAATTAATTTAACAAACAATAAAAAAATTGACCCAAACCAAACATTTGGCTATTATCTCTCATAGGCATAGCAATAATGTTCTTATAATCTATTTGGGAGGTCTGCAACGTTTTATAAAGTTTATTATAAATTTATTTTGGAAAAAATAATTTAGCTATTCTAATAACAATAAACAACTTTTCATTACAAAAATTTATAAAAAACAATAAAAATTAAAAAATGTTACAGTCGAACCAAATTATAATTATTGTCTGAAAAATAAAGCAGCAAAAAATGCCCCCAACAAACCCTTCCTGTGCATTGCAAAAGTAGAAAGAGATAACAGCAAATTGCGGTATTCTAAAATTTCTCAAAAACTAGCAAAAATATAGAACGGTCATTCTCAACTAGCTCCATTTGTAAACATTTCGATAGACCACTGATCACGGGCATCTGTGAAGGAGAAATCATTATGTGTGGACATTAGATGGTCCGGAGACTAATCAAAACACGCCACGTCATCTGAGCAAAAAAAAAGTAACGTGATGTGTTCTGATTGTTCTCCGAATGCCGTCCAGGATCCGTGCATAATATTTTTTTGTCTGTGAAGAGCTATGCTCGCAGCTAAAGCAGAAACTGTAGCAAGTTGCGCAATCAATAGATTACTTATATATTCTCAACATGAGGTGGACATCAACAAAGACATGGCCATTTTTCTACTATGCATCGTTTTCTGATGCTTCAAACGTTGAAGCTCGTGAAATTATAGCAACAATCTATGAATACATTGGCAGGTTTCTTAAAGTCATGACAAACAAATAATGAGCAAATAAACATCTAAACCAACAATTTTCAACACTCCTGCTACGCTTAAGAAAAACAGAGAGTAAAGGTTCATCTTGATTTTCCTAGACTTTC